TCGTAAGTACGTTTCTAAGTCATTCCCCCTGGACACACCGAACCCTAAAGCCCTAAATCGCCAAACCTCTAGACCCCTAAACCTCTGAACCCCGGAAGTCCCTAAACCCTTCAATCCCTGCACCCTCAATGCACTGAACCCTAAAACCCCTGAACCTCCAAGCACCCAAACCCCCTAAACCCTGAACCCACACACCCCTGAACCCCTGAACTCCTAAACGCCTAAAACCTAAACCCAAATGCCCCTCAACCTAACTTGAACGCACTGAACCGTAAACCCCGAAACTCTGAACGCCGCAACCCCGTAACATCCCCCAACCCCTAAACCCCTAAACCCCTAAACCCTTAGACTCCTAAACTCCTAAAACCGTAAACCCTAAACTCTGAGGTTTCCTGGGGCCACCCGTCCTGCGGCGGTCTTTTCAGCGACGGCCTTCGGATGCAGCTCCGCGACGTGCAGCAGGCCCTGACCGCCGAAAGCCCTGGAGCCCCAGGTTGAGGGGCTTTACATTATAGCACCCTTATAGATCCCCTATAGTAACTGACCCTTATAGACCCCTTTATAGGATCATTAAGGGCCCTATAGAAAGTTCCTATCTATACCTAGAGGCCCCAAAGTAGTTCCTTTTTGGGATTACCTTATAATTCTATATATGAACCCCAAAAAGGAACTACTTTGGGGCCTTAGGGTAGGGATGTTTCGGAATTCAGAGAGGGGTTGAGGATGTTTGTGGTGTAGGGTTGATAGGTTCTGCGGATGTTTAGGGTTTGTGAATGTTAACATGTTCGGGTTTAGGTACTTGGGGTTAGGGCGTTGGGCTTCAATCCTTGGGGCTTTAGGGTTAGGGCTCAGGGCTTCAGACCCCAGACAGACCCTAAACCCGAGACATTCCTGGTGAATCTCTGATCCCTGAAACCCTAAGTCGTAAAACCCTGAAGTCCCTCAACCCTGAACCGCAAATCCTAAGCCGCAAAACTCAAGAGCTTCATGTACACCCATGGCCCATGGCCGTACACTTCCGCCCGGGCATGGCGTAGCTGCAGTTCGTACGTGGGGTTGGAGGCCTTATGAAGGCTTTAGGGCTGCAGGGGATTTAGGTTTTGAGGCTGTGGGGTTTTACTCTCTAGTCGGTGTATATATCGGTGTATAGGATGTCATATTTTTATTTGGAACTTCGGGTTCGCTATTAGAGCCGAAATCTGCAAGGAAACCCAGAGGTTTGAACCCTAATCCCAACAGCTGGGGCAAGCCCACAATGCCACCAGAGTTGCAGCAACTCTCAAGCCCTTCAACCCTCAAATCATCAAGCTCTTATGCCGTTGGATCCGCAACACCCTCCATCCGCACTTTCTCACCCCATTGACCTCGTGAAATCCGCGACCCTCAAACTCATGAGCCCAGAGCCCCATCACCCACCCCTCAACGAAGCAATGCAAACAATAATGAAGATGCTCGCCGCTCGCTTTTGTAATGAAGGAACTACGCAGTCGAACTAGTCATACAGTACTCATCATCAGAAACGTGATCATAGTCAGAATCATGGGCTTAATCAAAATCAGCTTCATAGTCATGGTCCTGATCACAATCATAGTCACAGCTGAAATGATCCTTAAAACAAACCTTACACTGTAGTCCTTATACCCTGATCCCTAAACTCTATAAACCCCAGACCCTAAATCCTAAATCCTCAAAACCTGATCCCTAAACTCTAGACCCTAGACCCTAAATCCTAAATCCTCAAAACCTGATCCCTAAACCCTTAATCAAAAGCTGCAGGTGCAGAGCTCCGACTTCGCCTTCATTGCCCTCCGGGGGGATGGCTCTGCGGTGACTTGGGGGGATCCGGCGCCCTGGCTGGGGGCTTAGGGCTTTGCGGTTTCGGGTTTAGGGTTTGGGGACTTTGGTGTTTGTGGTTTAGGGGTTAGGGGTTTGGGCCATTGGTGGTTGAGGGTTTTGGGTTTAACGTATTACGTTTAGGATAGTTGTGTTCCTTTTGGAGGGCCGGGTGGAAGGGGGGGGATCACATGAGGGTCTAGGTTAGCTACGATCTAAATATTTCCTAATTTGCTCACTTCGGGCTTGCATGATGATTTGAGGTATGCCCGGTCGGGGGTCCTTCGCTATTTGGGTTTTGAGCTGCAGTAGGACGAGTCATCAGGATCTTTTATGGGGTTTGGTGGTTTGGAACACATTTGGGGTCTGGTGGTTTGAGACACATGTGGGGTCTGGTGCGAGTACAGTGCCTTGATGATCTTGAGTCTGAGTGTGTCCCGCTTTTGCGTTATGTCCTTTTCACCGTTAGTCTTGTTCTCTGTGGAGCTCTCGTTGTAGATGCTTCTGCTCTCATTGCTGTTGCCGTTGACCGTTAGTTTGTGTTTTATGCTCACCCACTGCATCAGCCAGTTTTTTTTCTGAAGCGTTTGCAAAGACCACGCTCACTGTCTCACTGGTTTGCAAAGCAGGTTCTGATTGGAAACGACTCAAGAAGGGCTTCCACGGCCTCTAGGCTAGGGTTTGTGATTGTAGATGCAGGGTTTGAGGGAGATAAGCTGCCAGGATATGGTGGAGCTGGTTGAAGGGCCAGGATTCCGAAGATTGGATCTGCAGCTTGTGGCTGGGAGGTCCAAACCCAAAAACCCGAAGCCTCCACACCCAAATCCTTTGCCCTACTCCCTCTTCCTGAGTTTCGAGTCCCTGAGCCGCCCAGGAGTACGGGGGTGACAGCCGAGCTGTGCAAGAGCAGCTACTGGACAGCCCTTGAAGCCCGCCGTTCGGGCTTAGCTCCTTACGCCCGAAGCACCACACCCTGAACCCTGATACCGAATCCGCTCCAGGGATAGAGTCAGCTTCCCATAGACTCATAAACATACAAACTCTAGGCTCTAGTGCGACTTCTGAGATGAAGAGCTGCAGGGCTGGAGGGTTTCGACAGTTCAGGGTTGATGGTACGGCTAAAGACTTACAGTCCCGCCTAAGCTTCGGAGCCCAGGGTTTAGGTTTCGCATGTTTGGTGCTCAGCATGAACAAGAAGCATTTTGGTTCTGTGTTCCTCAGTTCCAGACTTTGACGCGGCTCGGGGCCACCGTTGAAGAATACCAGATCAGGTCTGGTGTGAGGTTTTTGGCTGCTTTCTCGTTATATGGTCTTGATACGAGGGTTTAGCACCAGAAGCAGGATGTTAGTTTGCATGAAAAAACCATCAGAGTTTCCAGAAGCTTTGCCCGATGGTCAAAGCGACAGGGATGGGTTTCGTCCTAGCCTCTGGTCCTTCGAACAAGCTACATCAAAGGGCCCCCCTGCAATTTCTGAAGACCTGCTCTTATCGAAAGGCACCGTGCGCAATGCTGAGACTCCTGGCCCCCACACCCTAAAACCAATAACCCTAAACTCGAAAGTCCAAGCCGTATCTCAGGCTTCGGCACGTCAAGCAGCTTCAATCGACTGATGGAGCTGTCGCAGCCGTGCTGAATACTGGAGGCGGCTGTCAGGTCTTAAGGTGTTTCACGGCTGAAGGTTCGTTCGGCTTTAGGAATTGGGGTTGAGGGTTGCGGAACTGGCTTTAGGGTTTAAGAATTCGGGAATGGGGTTTAGGGTTCAGGGGTTAATGTGTGGGTAGTTGAGACCAGCAGCGGGACAAGGAGTAGTGTAGGAATGGGAGACTGCTCCTCCTGCTACTTCTCCTGCTTTCCTCCTCCTCCTCCTGCTGCTGCGGCGACGACGACTTCGAGGCTCCTAAGGTGACCGCTAACTCTGCAAGCCAGTCTAGTTTCCCATCCCTGACTTGACGAGGCGTCGTAACCTGGGGAGATCCGTCAGATGGTGGGGACAGCTCCCAAGTACAGGCACAGCTGATGGATGAGACTTGCCGGCGCTAGATTCCAAACACCGGAAGCACAGATGAGATGCATCTTAGTTAGGGGTGGAGGCCTCCGAAACTTGAAACCTAAAGCCTTCCTCCACTTGTGCTTGATATATAGGGGCCTAAATAATTACCCATACTTTTTTGGGGGACCGACCCTTATCATAATTATAGTATAATGGGCCCCGCAACCCTATTCTAAGTATTAAGGCCCCTATAAACTCTTCGAGGTCCGGCATGTTCAAGCATCCTCCGGTGCTTTTGCCGCCCTCTTGGGCGATGGCTCGGTGATTGCATGGGGAGCTGCTGATCGGGGTGGTGACTGCAGCGCCGTGCGAGAGCAGTTGACGAATCTCAGCTCAAAGAGCATCCTTTTGGTTTGGTTCTGCGGGGTTTGGGATTAAGGAGCAAGGATTCAGGGTTGGGTGATTAAATGGGATGGGGTTTAGGATGCAATGCTTGTTCGTGACGGTCAAGACATACGATGTCTATGTTTGCCGCTGGTCTGCTCAGGCATGTGCAGCATATCCAGGCGACTCGCAATGCTTTTGCCGCCGTGACGGCGGATGGTGTAGTGGTGACCTGGGGAAGTGGCACTTGCGGTGGGGACAGCAGTGCTGTGTCTGAGCAACTGACAGACACCCACATCCTCGCCGAAAAAAGCGTGCATGTGTCGGTCAGTCTGTGTGTGTGTGGGTGTCATCGGATCGTTCCCGCTTGATGCTGTTTCGCGCGATATCGCAACCCGATGCCCGAATCCCAAGCCGTAAACCAAAAAGCTTATGAAACCCCATCCCAAAGCCTTTTCTTCGATGGCTAAGGCTAAGGCCCCCGAAGTTGCACCGGGTGGACTATTTTCCGGTGACTAGAAGGATACGGTAGTGCCACGATGAAGGTTGCGATCATGATGTTATAAGGTTACAAGGTTACGATAAAGCCACTCAGGGGGGCTGCAAAGCACCTAGCACGCTCCCCATGGTTATGATCTCCTTGCCCAAACCCCGATACCGGTAGACCCTAAACCCTAAACCCTAAACCCCTCAACCCCGAAACCCTGAACCCTAAACCAAAAAAGAACCTTAGGCCGCAACCCTAAGCCCTAAAGAAACTTCAACCGGGTGCATTACTCGTTTGCACTCAGGTGTACAGATACCGCTACGATCCCGTCACTTATGACGGCAAGTGGATGCTGGGCTTTAACCTGTTCTTGTTATTGCTGCCTGTTTCTTCTAATGGCGACTGTACACTTGTCGACGGTAGCATTATTGTGCTCATTATTCTTATGTGCGATATGGTTGGTGGATTCCATCAAGACGAAGTGCGAGTTGTAGGGTGTGATAGTAACATTGTCCAAGCAACATTTTGGTGGCATTGTAGTAACATTACAGTATCATTATAGTAACGGTGAAGTGTTCTTACAGCAACATTGCAGTAGCCTTAGAATATCCTGAGCAGTACATAGTACCCTTTAAAGAAACCTTTGTACCAACCTTACAGTAACCTTAGCAGTACGTAGCAACCTCAGTAACAGCACAGTACATCTGTTAACCGAGTGCACCGACAGCGAACTCCTCAACTCTACAGTCTTCGTGAGCCTTCTTAGGTGGGAACCTATTTTTTGGGGGCCCTTTTATTTTTTTTGTTGGGCCCTTTTTTTTTTGGCCCCTACGTTCTGTTGTTTACACAGGGGAGGAAGACAGCAAGGAAACAAGGGAGGAGGAAGGAAACAAGGAAAGAAGAAGAGAGAGAAGGAAGGAAGGAAGGAAGCAAGGAAACAAGAAGGCAAGGACACAAGGAAGGAAGGAAGGAAGGAAAGGAAGCAAGGAAAAAGGATCGAAGGATCTACTATATCTATTATATGTACTATATAAACTATATGTACTATATATACTAAATATACTATATATACTATGTATACTATATCTATAATAGTATATATAGTATATATAGTACATATAGTATCTATAGTATATATATATATACTATATATATATATATATATACATGACATAGAATTACATATAGTAATATACACTATATACACTATATACACTATATATACTATACATACTATATATACTATATATAGTATATATATATATATACTATATATACCATATATACCATATATACTATGTATACTATATATACTATATATACTATATATACTATATATACTATATATACTATATATACTATGTATACTATATATACTATATATACTATATATACTATATATACTATATATACAATATATAGTGTGTATATCTACTATATATGCTATGTATTTATACTATATGTAGCATATATATAATTTATTTATATTTATATATGATATTTATATTATATATACCACACATATACATACTATGTATATATATACTATATTACTATATCTGTATATACTATATATATATATTACTATATATACTGTATATACTATATACTATATATAGTATATATACTATATATACTGTATATACTATATATATATATATACTATATATATATATGGTATTTACTGTATATACATATATACACTACATATAGTATATATATATATATATACCATATATATTATATATACAAGATATAAAATATATAGTATATATACTATATATACTACATATACTATATATATATACACATTATATATATATATATATATACTATATATATATACACCGTATATACTGTAGAACTTGTATGTACTATATATAGTATTTAAAATATATATATATATATATATATATATATATACATATATAGACAGATATATATATATATGGGCAAAGAAAATAGTTTTTTCTCAGGAAAACCGAAAAAAGAGAGTTTTCCCTAGACGCCAAGGAAAGCACCACCAAAAAAAAAAAAAGGCTCAAAAAAAAACAAATAAAAGGGCCCAAAAAAAGTCTCCACCCTTCTTAGGTGAGTTACTTACGATTAATTAAGAGGGCTAGATTGTGCCATTGCCGCACTTGCGACTTTAGACCCCTTCGGCTTGAGGATCTATTTCTGTAACTTCTTTGATCTGGGGGTAGGTCCTAAATTGCTGTTTCGAGCACACGAAATTCGATGGAGAAGAACTTGATCAGGTGGACCTGTCAGACCGTGTTGTTTACCTAAATCCTGAACACACGAAGTTTAAGCTACACGGTGAAACCTTAAACCGCATTCAAGCCGCAGCTTTTGTCTCCAAGTGAAGCTTGCAAGGACAAAGTCTTCGATCCGAAAATGGCTGGAAGATGTGCACTTCGGCTGTTTGCGAGGTGAGTCTGATTGAACGTACTGCGGACTGCGGCTGCGGTGTTTTTTACAGTTTTTTGCGTTGGATCGGCAGGGTCTCAGTAAGTAGAATCTAGAAGAAGGGGATTTAGGATTTAGTACTTACGGTTTAGGGTTTAGGGTTCAGGGCTATTAAGTAGAAGATAGAAGTAGGGCTTATAATGCACTAGCAGCTAGCAGTCAGGGTGCTTCTGACCTTGCTTGCGACAGTCCACTTTTGGTGCAGCGTCCCCATGGACTCTAAGTCGGTGTTTGGGTCAAGACCCTGTGAATAAGTAGCTGAGTACCTCGACAAACTTCAAGCCGAAGCCAGCATACCAAGGTCGTAGTGCCGGACGTTTTTAAGTTCTTTGCCATGGAGCGGGGTCATCATGTAGAATCCAGGGTTCCATATGAAACTGCCCCATAGGTCCCACCGCGGTTCGTGGCTTCCCAGGTCCTATCCTCCGGTGAATCGCTTCTGGTATGCACTCAGCATGCTCTTCAGGCACAAAGTGTAGGGCCTGAGCATCTGGGCCCTGAAATGGTTCAACAGGCCTCCCTAGGCAGGGCCTGCTTAGGTTTCGGGTGTGGGGAGTATACGGCTTAACTGAGGCTGCTGTCCCGGATGCTTTGCTCGAAAATAATTGAAAATTTCCAGGCTTGCAGCCGCAGTTCGCACCGACCAAGTACCTGCCGGGTGCTCAGAGAAGGATTGAGAGTGTAGGGGGCTTCAGGGTACGGGCCGTTCCAGTAACGAGAAGGAATCGAACTTGTACAATTGACTAAACGTGATGCTGTGGGCGTATCCATAGGTTCCTTGTAGGGCTGTCCAGCATTTGATTTCCATGGAAATCGGCATTTTGTCTTCACCTATCTTTGCAAACCGTAAGGGTCGTATAGCAGCAACTCTTTTGCCGCAGATCATCCGCTGATAGAGGATGTGCAGGAGGAACCGCGTGCACTGTGAGGATCCGTAAGACTAAGAGCTGCAACCTCGAAACGCGACCTCCGCCAAGGACGAAAAACCCGTTTGGTGTCCTTTTGGTCGTGAAGCCGGTTGCCACCGACACGGACGACCTGGCCAAGGTGTGGAGGGGTCCTCAGCGAAATCCCCGACATGAAACCGGCAAGCTTAGCTTGCATCTCCAAGCAGCTTTCGCCGGCATTTCTTGTCAAGCCTGAGCCGTGATACGTTTGGTGATGATCATTCCAAGGCCTTGCATGATCCGAAGCCCAGAACCCCTAAAGAGAGCCAGCGCGTTTGGTGGAGCCTCTCAGCTCATCTTCGAGGTTCGAGCTATTTTGCCCTAGTGCCGAATGCCCTGGAGCCCAGTCATGTTAACATAGGGGCCGAAATTATTACCAATATTTTTCTGAGGGTTCCTTGCCATGACTATACTATAAGGGAGCCTGGGCCCCTATTCAAACAAAAAATGCCCCTACAGTATGCATGTTCCTACATTCGGTGTTCAAGAAGCCCGGACCAGCTTAAGTCTGGTAGGAGAAATCTGAGATAAGGGTGGCTTCGCCTAGCTACTTTGTCACATTAATTCCGACACCACTTAACCCTTAAGCGCCGAACTCGTATAAATTCGCATTTCCTGAAAATTTCACGCGAAATTGTCCGCTCTCCTACACCCGCAGTTTCTTAATTACTCCTTGAACCATCAACCCCTCAAAATCTAGACCCCGGAAATCTTGAACCCCCATGTACAGTTGAAACCCGTACATTGCCTTCCTGAACTACCAAAGTCTGAACAGTCTTAAGCTCTTACAAAGCTCCTGTCAACCCCGCAGAGAACCCGTAGACAATCCGTATACACAGTAGCATCCAGATCAATGTCTTCATGAACCAATGGAGAAACCCGGTAAATCCTCACAAAGAACCCTTGAACCCTAAACCCTAAGCCCTAAAACCCAAAACCCTAAAACCCTAAACCCTAAACCAACCCTAAAACCCTACGCAGATGTGTATGTCCCTGCCCCTGCTGCAAGGATGACACGCTTGACTCCGCAGGTGCATGGCCCCTGCAGCAAGGAAGACAGTCAGGCACGTACAGAAGACGTTTTTTAAATCGAGAAGTGTACCAAGTTAGATCTTATTCGCTTTCGCTTCTGCTGCTAAAACAGTTGGCTGGCCCTCGTACTCGAGGGTTATGAGCCCAAGCCTTCGTGTGCCCTGTTGCCATGGACACTCTTGCTTCTAGAAGGAGAAAGTCGAGCTCTGTGCCTCCTGGTGGGCTTAGTGGCGGTGCTACGGCAGCTGACACACCTGTCCCACTTGAATCAGGAGATGAGCTTGAGCCTTCGTACGAGGACCAAGATGCAGCGGGAGCAGCCAACAGTCAGACTGGGATTGATGGTGAGGCCCCAGCCTCTTCGAAGCCTCTACCAAATCCTTTTTGGTCTGAAAAGGCTACAGCAGAATTTCAGTTGAACCAGTCCCGACCGCGCGACTTACCTAGCACTACTGAGAGAGATGATGATGTGGACGTGCATCCACCGTATGACTTCTCTGAGCCAGCCATGGCATCTTCTGGGCAAAATGCTGGGAAACTTGATGATAGAAGTGAGTCAAGACTCTTGCACCGGGGTCTCGGAGCGAGCTCTCCGGGATCCAGTGGCAAGGCGTCGATCCTGGAGCGTGGTGAGACGACTACGAAAGTGGAAGTCAGGAGCTATGCCCTTCAGGTGACGGAATCCCCGACGGGACCAACACAGCCGGACCATCAAGGAGCTCAGTACTTCATGATTGGTTCGGATGGGGGTGACACTCCGTTTCGCGAGCAGGAGTCTACAAAGGTTAGGAGTTTGGATGGGGAGATGTTCTCGCAAAGAGCTTCTACTGCAGGCAGAGCTTCTGACGTCAGGGACCCTAGCCAGGCTACCGTTGCAGCGCTCCTGCAACGGGTCAAGGACCTTGAAGATGCGCTAGTGGCGGAAAGAAACTCAGGAGCTTCGGTGTCAATGAAGTCCGCTGCTGGTCAGAATACGGGAACCTCAGTGTCGATGAAGTCGGCGGTAGGTGGTGCTGGTAGAGCTGTAGGAGTAGATGCTGAAAATGTGGATGGAAACCCGTCCGTTGTACAGACAAGTTTCTGCGATCCCCCAGGGTTAACAAGTGTGAGTAATGAACACAATGATAATAGTGTGGGTGGTCTTGGAAAATGGGTGTATGTTGATGGTGGTTACCGGCAGCTTGCCCTCAATGCACAGGGAGTTTGGACTTTACTTCCTAGCGTGCTAAATCAACCACCTCCTCCTCCTGTTCAGCCCCAAGCACCTCAATCTTCGGCAAGTCTCCCAGGGCCTTCCTGGATTCGGGGGCCAGCGCTTCCTGTTGAAGGGCACGGTTGGACTTGCCCCGCACAGCAGCTTCACCAAGTGCAGCAGAGTGTGCCGGAGCCGGTACAAGGAGGATCAGGCTTCTTTACGCCGCCGCAGATTCCTGAAGACCTTAGTGGGTTGCCTAAGGGTTTAGTTGAGTTTGTAGGCTTAGGTGGCCCTCCGCAGTACCGACCAGCTTCGATGTCACATCATGTTGAGCAAGCGGCTCCAGCAATGCAATGCACTCAGGGTTATAGTGGGTTAGTTGGTCCTCCACTCCACCACGTAGCTCCGATCCCTACGCCCCATCCTGTTGAGCAGTCGTTTCCAGGAATGCAATGCACTCAGGGTTTTGGCATTGGTTCGGGTGGTTCATTTCTGCCCCAGGTACCTTCGATGCCTTATCCGCAGTATCCTGTTGAGCAGTCGGTTCCAGGATTGTATAGCACTCAGGGCTATGATAGGGATTCGAATTATCTGGTGTCACATCAGACAGCCTTCCCGCGTCATCATGATGAGCAGTCGGTTGTGCCTAATACCTCCTCAAGCCCGGTACCACCCCCGCCTCCTAGTGGTTTAGGACCTGACTTTGGGGTGAGACAAGAGATAGGGTTTAGGGTAGATCGCACGCCAGGTGGTACTCCGGTGCCTCCGTTGCCTCCACCTTTAACCCCAACTCCAACGTCTGAAATCCGCCGTCAGGAGCTTCGGTACTCGCCTCAATGGCAGCGCTGGCATGATCTTCCACAGCTCTCGGAGCTGAGAACTGATGAGGCACCGATTGCAGTGGGCGATTGGATAACATTAGTGGGTCCTATAGTTGGGGACATTAGTACTGGAGCGGGTCTTTGGTGGGTCAAGGTTAAGGATAGGGCTGAAGCTTTCTATGCACAGTGGCTTAATGCTACCCCGCTACACCGAGCACAAATTGAAGTAACCTTAGGATCTGAGCTTTCCCAGCCGCAGTATGCCCGGCTTGAGCAACGAGTAACATCGATGCTGTTGGCCTCGCTTCCACAGAACTTGAGACAGGACATCCTAGCTTCTAGGGTTCTCAATTCGGTGAATGTTTTGTATAGGGTGATGGTTGCAGGGCAGCCAGGAGGAACTGCTGAGCGCGCGACACTGTTGAACTTCTTGACTCAGCCAGGGACTGCACAGAACCCGGCGGAAGCATTGGAGAAATTGAGGAAGTACTCAAGATGGAGATCGCGTGCGGAGCAGCTCAAGGTTTCCCTCCCCGATCCTTCACTCCTGCTCAGGGCTGTTGAGAGCATCGTGTCTGGAATCGTGAGTTCGAGCACTTATAGGGAGTTGGCTTTCAGGCTTAGTGTGCTGAAGCTTGAGCTCTCTTTAGATCACGTGCCAACACATGAGAAGGTTGAAAAGTTCAGGAGGCAGGTTCATGCCGAGATGGAGCTGCTCGCGGTGAGCGCTCAGGCGCTCTCTCAGGAAGAGAAGAGACAGCGGGTAAGGAGAGCCAAGGCCACTGAGGAGGAAGGAAAGGAGGAGAAGCCAGAACACAGGAAAGGAAAGGGCGCGAACAATACAGGAGGCAAGGATGCAGGTAAAGGTAAAGGACTTAAAGGCAAGCCTTCTGATGCCCAGCCTGAAAGCAATCGCCGAGTCTGTCAGTTTTGGGGTTCCGCAAAGGGGTGTAACGCCGGACGGTCATGCCAATACAATCACGATCTTAGTGTTGTTGAGGATGGTAGTGGTAGGTGCTTTGAGTGTTCATCCACTGAGCACTGGAGGAATGCGTGCCCAGTGCTAGGGAGAGGCCCACCCACTGCCGCTGGCAGCGCTGACCATAAGGCGGGTGTAGAGGCCTCAGCTAAGGCTGAACCTAAGCGGGGTCCCCGGAAGAGAGTTCGCAAGGTTGGTGGAGTTGAGGTTCCTGAGGGTTCGGAAGCTCAGGCCTCGCAGTCTGAGGGCGCACCAGCTGCAGCGACAGGGCCCTCAAATGATTTGGTGAAGGAAGCCATTGATGCCATTAAGTCTTTGAGGATATCCAAGCTGTGTGCTGTTAAAGCCGAAGAATCTAGAGACGCCGTTTTGGGTTTGTTGGACGGTGGTGCCACAACCTCACTTCGACAAGCCATTAGTCTGCAAGAATGGGAAGCTGCCGCCCCAGTGGTAGTGCATTTAGCTTCAGGGGAAACAAACAATCTTCGGATCGCCAGCACAGGCGTCCTGCTAGCAGAGCCAGCGTCGTTGAGTCAGCAGAAAGCTGCTCCGATTGTTGCTTTACATCAGCTTGTGAGCCTAGGGTATCAGGTTCGTTGGACCTCAGGAGGCTTTGTGTTGCGAGATCCAGAAGGCTCTAAGGTGCCAGTTGTTCTGGTGGCAGGTTGCCCGGAGGTTTCGTCAAAGCTTGCCTTGGATATGATATCTAAGATAGAAAAGCTGAGTGGGGTCGCTGTGAAGGCTTATGCGTGTAATGGGCACCTTAGCCAAGACGTACCCCTCACAAGTCTAGCCACGGCGCTGTTGGCAGGAAAGGGCCCGCATCCCGATCGTTGGACGTGGCTCACCGAACTAGTGGGTCTTCAAAGTAGCTCTCTTCTTTCGCAGGTGCTCGATGAGCCGAGGATGGAAGCCGTTGGCATACAGCCACGTTTCAACCGTCGCACTCGCCGCACCTTAAGCCAGTGTGAAGGGATAGCTGTTGTGATTGGAGATCCTAAAGCCTACGTAGGAACCGTGCCTTCAAAATGGGGAACGATCCGCCTAGATCACAGGGAGGTGAGGGATGAAGG